GGCTGCAGTGCAGTGGCCCAATCATAGCTCACTGTAGCTTCAAACTCATGGTCTCAAGGGATCCTCCTGCCTCAGCCCCCCGAGTTGCTTAGACTACAGGCACGCGCCACTACACCCAGCTAGTTTTTAAATTTTTTGTAGAGATGGGGGTCTCACTATGTTGCCAGGGCTGGTCTTGAACTCCTGGCCTGAAGCGATCCTCCCTCCTCAGCCTCCCAAAGTGCTGGGATTACAGGCCTGAGCCACCTTGCCTGGCCACACAGCTCAGTTTAAACCCTTCTATGGCTCTCAGCGCCGTGTCTTCTCTGCCAGGAACTGGCATAGCTGCTCCACTCACCCTGGACCCCCCTCCAAGGGGCTGCCCGTGCCCACTCTCTGGGCCGTGGAGGATGAAGACCTGGCCAGGAAGGGCTGTTCTCCAGCCACCTTCCAGGGCCTGGTGTCACCACAGTGGATGACAGCAATCAGAGGAATTCGAGCCTTTGCCCGAAGGCTCTCTTTATCTTCAAAGCTCCTAAGGGAGAGAAACCACAGCCTCTTCCTCCAAAGGCTTCCCTGATTTGAGAAAAAAGGCCCTTAGCCCTTGTGGCCCTTCTGGCCAGCCTTCCAGTGAACCACCTGTGACAGCCCAGGAGAACCCATTCGGCCACCATAAGTAACCGCCGTACCAGGCATGACCCGGAGATCACAAAAGCCCCACACGCTGTCTGCTGCTCTGGGCACTTGTGCTGTGGGGACAGAGATGAAGGAGCCATCATCCCTGTCCTCTAGGAACTCTGGAGCTGGTGGGAGGGGCAGCCCCACCGGTGCTACCGACAAGCTCTGGAGCCAGACACTTGAGGTCTGATTTTCTCTTTGATTGTCACTCTGTGGCCTCAGGAAAGGCCCTTCCTCTCTCAAGCCACAATGACACAGAAAGGCCCAGCTGACTTCCATCAGAATCTCTGGTGTGGGACCCCAGCGTGGGAACCCCAGAGGCAGCTGGGTAGGGCCCCCTGCCCCTGTCTGTGTGCTCTGAAAGCCCTGGGGTGAGCAAGGCTGAATAAGCCAGTGTTTCCCACACTCGCTTGACCACAGAAACCCATTAAGATCCTTCTGGAGAGTGCCAGGGAACACACTGGGAAACGCAAGCAGGAGTTTACGGCACAGGCTTTGGAGCTGGGAGGCCTGGTTACATTCCTCACTCTGCCACTTGAGAGCAAGGAACTCCGTCCATCAAAGCCTTATCTACAAAGTGGGGAGGATCACACCGACCTCTTTGGGTTGTTAGGAGGATCAAATGAAATCAAGAGTGTGAAGCTGGGCCGGGCGCGGTGGCTCACGCCTGTAATCCTAGCTCTCTGGGAGGCCGAGGCGGGCGGATTGTTTGAGCTCAGGAGTTC